TAATGCATTAAAAACAAGATTGCAAGTGAATGTTCTTGGCAATAGTTTGTAATATAAAAGATTTTACACCAAATCTGGAACATTCTTAAAGGATTTACTATAAAAAACTTTCGCTGTTTGTTAAAAGGAGTGATTACACTGAGAAGCTTGAAAGATAAAGTTAGGATATTATGTTTACTATTGAAGAACGTAAAGTTTTATAGATAAAGATTTACAGACGAATTCTTTTAACAGAGACTAACTGGATAGACTTCTTTCGTGGAGACAAATACGTTCTGCTTTACAGTGAATAATTGTTTTGCGGTTATCTGCTTGCTAAAGCAAAGTAGCAATAACACAAGGAGAAATTTCACTGCAGGTACTGACACACTATTCTCAGAGACGAAGAGATTAAATATTAAGGATCTTTTTTGTTCGAATAAGAAACTCTTGTGGCAGCTCAGCACGAAGCTTCAGGTAGGGTTTAGAATTGATCCCAGAATTCTTCTCGAACGGAGTATCTTCATATGGGAAGCAAGCGCACAATAAATGCAGATACCATTGTACTGGTCCCTTCTATGGATCTTAGTTCGACAATCTCTATCCTGACAGGCTAGGCATGGGCCAATCTATCGCTTTAATCAGTGCATGGATAGGTTTTTTTTTCAATATTCTAAATTTGATTAGACGACTTTTATCTGGGTTGGAATACTGACCACAGAGAATATACATGATTCCGTTAGAAAATATCAAAATTGGCGGTATAACTCAAACATGTGTAGACTTGATTTTTTTTATAGGAGAACAGTGTTAAAGTTATCAAAATAATAAGCTTTCATCTTCAAATGTCACCATTCGTCGGACCTCGTTTCCTTATTTTTTAAAGTAACCAAGTCATAGCCTACTTGTGAAACTGATCTCACTCTTCAGCAAGTTGACAATTCATAACCTTTGCACTGGAAATCATGTGAAAAAAAGGAGATGATTTTACTCCCATGGAGCTTGTTTCTCGGGCAGTAAAACATTTGACATCTACATCGAAGCAAGAATAGATTTAGTGTAATTCATATTCAGATCAGTAATCCTGTGTTACTTTATACTACGTAACTTCTAGACTAGAGGTTCCCAAACGTTTTTGTTCTGTAGACCATCTACTCACGTGACAAGTGCAAAATTTACCTGACAGGGTGAAAATTTAAAATTTTACACTGGCTGAGTAGTTTTGGAACGCAATAGTAACACTGAATTTTTAAAAATTCATCAACAGCAAGACTGTTTTTGATAGCTGACGTAGAACTTCTCACTTTTGTAAAAAGTGAAATATTTTAAAACAAAAAAATATAAAGTTTTCATTCATATGCTTTTATTAATCATTTTGGCATAAAATGCAAATCTAGTAAAGTTCCTACATAAAATAAGTACACAAAAAATCAGTACTTTCAATGGGAGGGATGAACTTGATGCTTTAATAATAAATTTTTAACATTTGACGTTAAATTAATCAGGCTTAACAAATATCTTCGAATAGTGATTTCCAGTCTATTTCGTTTTGTTTCTTTCTTTCAATCTCTCTGTCGACCGCGCTGAAATCAATTTCTACGATGTATAAAGATGGAAAAGCTATTGAAAGCTTTTTGCGATTGTCCATAATGCAGAATAAATAAGAGGTATGTATATCTCTCTGAAGGCAGAATTGCTGATATCCGTTGTTTAAAATGCCCCTCAAGTTCTCGTGCAAGAAGAACTGTTATTCCCATCAGTTCTTATAATAATACGGCATCTGATTCTTAATAATACGGCATCTGATTCTTCAATGTCAGTATGAACTGATAATCAATTGTGACATTTTCATACTCAAAACATACTCAAACCTATTTTTAAAGGCTCTGTGAGGGGTATTTAGGTCAAAACATCATCACACTGGCAGTGTGACAGCGGCAAATTGGAAAATTGCGAAAATTCATACCGTGCAATGTTTTACTTAATTAGATTAACTCTGGCAAGAAATGCTGCAATGATTGACTTAATTTTTATTAAGTTTAGATTGATAGCTTGTAACTGCAAGTTAACCTCATTCCTTTTGATTAGATTTTCTTTTAATGGGATCGAAATCATCCAAAATGTCTAAAACAGTCTCATAAAAATTTAAAAATGTTCTCAAACATAAGTCTTTTGACAGCCAGCGTACTTCGTCATGAAGAGTAATCGATGAAAGTTCTCGGCATTTTCTTCGCACACCTGCGCAAATAACCTAGAATTCAATGCAGTCTCTGAATTTTGTTTGCTGCGTTTAGGAAGAATTGATGAGTTGATGCAATCTGTCTCTCAGAGGTTTAGCAACTAAAAGTTGTAGATAGATAACGCAATGAATTGCAGACACCCGGATACAGTTTGCTTTAAATGGCTTATAAAATCACGATAGCGTCTAAACATAGTGAGTGCTCCATCTGCTGCTGCTAACATTACATTTGATAAAGTAATCGCTTTTTCTATGAATTAATCTCACGGAATATTGAATATTAATTCACCTTTTTCGTCTGTTGTTACAGTTTCCGGGAAGAGCAATCTTCATGGATTCCTAGGACATAATATAACGAAAATGTGCTAATAAAAGTGCGTCCTTACCGATCTAAAGTTGACTATATGTATGGAGAAATGGGTCCCTTGCAGATAATTACGATAATAACACAAAAAGCTTTCAACATTGTCACTCATTTCATCAATACGTCTTTGAACTTTGTTGTTGCTCAAAAGAATTCTTTTGAGCATATCATATGCAGGTTTGTGTAGAACAGTTTCTGAAAGCTCTTCAATACCTAGCAAAATTATCGATAGTGGAATATTTTAAAATAAAAGAAATAGTTACAAAACTTCAAAATACAAAATGTTCTGATTTTTCTATAATTAGTGAGGTGTGGTAAGACGCCTGAAAACCATCATCGTCTATTTTTGCCGTGAAATCATGGGTCTCTTCATGTTTAAATGTTTAAAATTATTTAAAATTTTTACTTGTGACACCTTCTCATATGATCCTCTAGCTTGGATTATTCTATAGAGTCATGGCTTAAAACTTTTGCATAAAAGGCATAAGAGCAGATGTGTTTGTCGCATAATAAGGAAATGGAGCCGAACTTAAAATAATCAACGATATAGAACTTGCCAGCATGCCATTTTAGATTCGGCCTTTTTTAGTAGCAGTAATTTGTGGTAAAAATTAAGCTATTTAAATATAGTAAGACATACCTGTTCAAAATTGGTTCCCGGTATAAAACCTTATTTTAATTTCAGCTAAGTCTACACAGTATTTATTAAGTTGGGGGCATTATTTTTACCAAGTCGTAATTCTCAATAAAGTTTCAAAACGTATTTTATACAAAAATGTTAAATATGCAAATTAAAATCCCATCTTATGCCAACCACAAATTATTTTAACCCGTTCAAAAGCAAAGCAGAACTTTTTGCTTGATTTGCAATTGGGTTATTATAATGAAAATTGGTTTTTAAAAAGGGATGCTTCTTCAAAAAACATAAGCAATAAATACACCACAAAACATAAACAATTCGTAGAACTACGTTTTCGTTTTTTTTAGAAGCATCCATTTGAAATATTAGGAATTAACGCGGAATTGTAAAAATGATTGGCGTCTCTATGCAATCTTTGTCTCTGACATGGATTAAAAACTTCCGTGCAAGCACAAGTGGTACAAGTCTGAGGCGTCCTTGCAAAACTCTGGTACATATGTGGGTAAGCATTGCTACTTGCCCACAATGCGTTGTTGCTGGCATCGAATGTGCAAGTTTTTATAAGTTATGAGTTTTGTTGCAAAACGAATAGGTACCGACTTAAAAAAGTTTATGAAGTATATTTACTTAATAAACAACTAATTAATTTACATCCTTTTATATAAGTAATTGTAATGTGAGTACATAGGCAAAATCTGTGTATTAGGTGCATTATGGCATTTACGGAAAGCCTAATTTTGTTGATAACCTGTTTAAATAAGATCCCGTTTACTTGGGGATTTCTTTACTTTCCCTATTTACACCTCACCCACCTCCAATGTTTCCTTTCGTTGAAAAGGACCCCTTATAAGTCGGAGTAGACCTTTGCGAGTTCATACAGACCACTGGGAAACCTATGTTCTAGACTGATTTCACCTAAGTAACTTCTGAAAACTTCGTAACGTACAATCAAAGTATACTGTAAGAATAATAAGCAGTTCTTAATAACATTGAGACCCAGTCACTTATTTATGCAGCGCCATCATGCATCACGGTGTATTTTTATCGAACGATAATATGGTTTTTGAGCATTATCATGCGGTACCGAAGGTACGAAGATTTGGACAGCTTATGCCAGTGATATTCAAACTATGAGTCCCGTCCTCATTTAGGGTAGTGAAAATTAACAGTGGGGTGGCAAGGCGGATAAAAATTCTAAAACGTCTGAGTTGATGGCATATAACTAAGGTTCAACGCTCTGAATGGGATCACGAAATTGTTTTTGATGGGTTGTTTGAATTTTTATGGGGTGAAATTGCTATAACGTTTGAATGCCACTGTCCCACGTCATTATCATAAAATGACCACGCAGGAAGGGGAAAGAAGATGATGGTCCTTATACATAAGTTATATTTTTTGCAATTTTATGATTTTGCGAAAGTAATTTATTTACTTTCGGTTCAGTAAGTTTCGGTTTTGTTTTAGTAACTTTCGGTTTTAGTCCGGAAAGTAATTTACTTACTTTCGGTATTACTTTTACGGTTTTCTCTCTACACGCAAATCTAGTTATCTTAAAATTTGTAATCTATAAGTAATTTGTATTTGTAAGTATGTATAAAACATGGAATAACACTAATTTAGTATTTACAGAGGATTTCTTATTGGGAACAATCTTCTGTTTTGACCCATGCTATATAATTTGTTTTCATTGATTTTTTTGTGGGAACGTATCTGATTTATAAGCAATGGAACAGAAATTATAAAACTGAAATATATTGATGGAATAACAGAATACTTACTGCTTTGCATCTCGGATCAGAACACGCCAGTTCCACGTCAGGCCATCCATCAAGATCTCGATCAGGACCACAGATCTTTCCATCACCAGCCCATCCAACTCTGCACTATAAAATACATAAATAACCTTTTGAACTCATATTATCTTATAGACATGAATAGGATAAAGAGTAGCTAAATATTGATTTGAGAAATATTATTCTTCAGTAACTTGACCAAGAAAATATAATAACTTAAATCATTATCACTATGCAAAAAGAATTAATTTCTTCTTTGTAATTTAATGTTCTTACTTTATAATTACAAGGAGGATATTTTTAATCTTTAGACGCAATGGGTTAAAATCCTTTCTTTTCCTACACTGCCAGATTAATTTATTCAACAAAAATTTGTAGTAAATGAAGGTTTTCATTAAATAAAGCAGTTTTAATTGCATAACAATTATACGAAATACTATTTCTTCACATATCATAAATTGCATTACTCTACGGAATTTGATTTTCTGCCATTACCTTTTTCTCTGAACAAACCGTTGTTTCAAGTGTAATTATTCTGAAAAATATTTCTCATTAAATAAGCACTATATTCACTTGCTATAAAGACAAAAATTGAATTTTATGCTTCATTTTATTTTAATCAATGTAAGTTCTGAAATAAACTTTCTATTGACTAAAATTCTCAAATATCAATGTCACGCACGCTCCTGATGTAAAGATGAAAAAGAAAATTGTTTTCATATGATTTGGAGTACCCATTGCCATTTGTGATGTATTTACTTTATTTGCGTATAGTTTGTCCTGTATATAGAGCACAGAATTTGGTGGTGACTATTTGAGATCATCGCAAAAAATTTGCATTCTTTCATGGTTGCAGCTTAAACATAAGTGACATGGATTTTTCTAGTATTTTAATTTTATAAATCCATCTCCTTTTTATGCTCAAGATAATGATGATGAGGGCTTCCTTTTTATGTGGACTATCCATATTTTACGTGGCAGTTTTATGGCTTCAGTGAATGTTTATTTACAAACAGCTAAATTTTTTAAATATTAGTATGGCTCCGAAAATTTCTAAATTACTCCCATAACGTCGTTTTTCAACTAATTTGAATAGTTCTGTAACTTTTGCTTTTGCCAATTAGCAGGCAATTGCTCAGGAACAGTTCATTGAGAATGATCGAACCGAGTGATCGTTTACTCATTTTATCTTGAAGAACGATGTTTAGGAGAATCTACAGAGGACAGATATTGTGCCCTCCAAAAAGACGAGAAGGGCACTCACAAATTGCTGAATGTTTTGTGGGAGTTGAAACCGCAACCTGGTGATCGGATTAAAAGTAAGCCTCCACTAACCACTCTACTGTCCAGTATGACATTAATCTGTAAATATTCTAGAGGGAAATTTAGCTTTTGAAACAGTATGAATTTCAGCTGAATTACTAGAATTAGGTTAATAATATTCAAATTTATATATATTTTTGAAAATGCAAAAAAAGAGAAGTATAAAACACTTGGGATCGAAAATATCGTACGCTTAACGAAAATTTAGCCGATTAGCAGTCAAGGTCTATCCGGGAAACGGTCATCTCCTACCTCTTTGTTTCTCAAGGTGTTATGTAAAGATTTTAAGCCATTTCATGAGCCAATTAAAAGTAGAGTAGCATTTTATCATGAGAGGATAGAATGGGAAAACTGTAAGCAACGAAATTCGCGGAACTTTCGCTATATGCGATTTATACTAGAATTATCGCACTTAAAAATTTGCATTAATATGCCTGGGGATAAGAATGCAGACCAGAATCAAAACCATAACACAGAAACAAGTATTTTAAATAAATTTTTTAATTCATCACTTATTGCAAATATATTCAACACCGTTATTTTATATCAGGATTATTTAATTATAATAATAGTATATTGTACATGTACAGACTTAGTGAAATTGTTAAGTAGCATGTTCCTTAAAAGAACGTCTTTCGGCATTTGTTGGCATCTACAAACAACGGAGAATGACCGTACTTCAGAAAACAAGTATTTCTCATATCCAAACTGGTAGTTCGGTCCGAGGTTCGAATCCCGCGAACGGGCTGGCTGCATGGGCGTTTTCGTGGTTTTCCCCATGTGTAACGTGCATACGAGCCAGTTTCCCTTAGAAAGTCCTCCACGAAAGCATCCCTCCCTTTAGGCAGATAGCCCTCGAGGCTTTGCCATAATCACACACACACACACATCTCATATCCAAACGTCCATCAAAGCTTTTAGCTTCAGTTGGAAGCTATTCTTTGGGCTCTGGACTGGGATTAATCTCCAGTGGACATTTATTATCCTAAAACAGTTACCGTATTTCTTCGCTTGGTTTTTCCCCCTTTTTTCACACAATTTTATAGTCCAAAAATCCAGATGAAAAATTATGCGAACAAGCCGATATCTGATGTCTAACTGAGCCAAACACATCACGCAGTTGAATTAATTTGTAAAGTCCCAAAGGAACCTCAAATGAATGAGTCTTGAATGCAGTTCGGAAGACAGGGAATCGAAGGAACGAAGGTGAAGAGAGGAGGCGAATGAAAGATCAGAATTTCGAAAGACCGAACCCATAAGCAGTGCATAAATTACAATGAGCTAGAACGTAAATCATAGAAGTAAAGTGAAATCACATGTTTCGAATATTTCTTAAGTGTGAGAATAACTTCCACGTCAAAAATACAGAAAAGTAATGATCCCATGTGTATGTCATTAGTAGAAAAGAACTGAATGTCACAATCAGCAGTCTCAACCCCAGAAAGTTACCAGGATGTGATCTGGTTTTCCCCAAATGTTAAAAACGTTGGACCTGTCGCAAGAGAAAAAAATTAAGAAATAATGTAAAACTGAGAAATTATCAAAAGTATGGAAAATGTCAATAAAATCCTAGTCTTGAAACTGTGAAGAACTGTCAATGAATGTAAGAATTATAGATCAATTGCATTAATTAGCATGCTATACAAAATAACAGAACGCACCATTTATTCTAGAATTATGAAAGTTCTAACTGAAGGAAACCAAGCTACTACCAGGGTGCCTACAGAAAACAACATTTAGCCGTTTAGCTGTTCTATCTATGTCGATCTATTCTTGGTGGCTCTCATGGAAACCTTTTAGAAAAATCCTAGCTGAATTTTTAGACATGGCGTCTGCTTTCGATATTAGTATGAAAGTATAAAGTCATAGTTATCGTCCTGCATGGTGTCAAAGGTTACGTACTAATTTGGATCACTGACTTCTTCAGAAAGAGGAAAATTTAAGTTAGATTCAAAGAAACGCATTAAAAAATCAGAATAATTGGGCATGCGTGGCTCAGAGCTCCATTTTCAGCCCATTAGTGTATTTACTATATGTTAAAAATATTTATCATCACCTGTTTGAAGACGCAAAATTTAAAGTTATGCAGATGGTGTGGCAATTTGGAATACTTGCTACAACATTAATGAATCTGCTTACGTTTTAAACCAATCTCTAAAGAACATTACAATTCATTATAATTTGCTCTCGGAGCCTCAAACAGAAATTCAATTAACAAAAATCCTTTTCTCACAGTTTTTACTATAAATCGAAAGCATAGAAATCGTAAAAGGTTTACTGTCATGATGAATAATATACCTTAGATACAAACACCAAATCTAAAATACTTTGGAGCACAACTTGAACTTCAATTGCGCTTTACTAAACTAATCAATATTTGCAAAAATAATGTTTTAAAGAAACTAAAAGTCCTAAAAAGCTTATGTAGTACTAACTGGGGTGCAAACTCCAAAATTCTTCGAAAAACATACACAGTTGTACCAGTCCTTTAGTATACACTCTATATCTGGGCCAATGCTTCAAGCCGCAGCACTCAGTTACTCAGACAGCGCCCAGACCAGAGCAGCAAAAATCATTAACGAAGCACTTTCTTCTGTAAACTATAAACAACGAAAAAGTGGTTACAGGAGGTGGTCTCGAAACTCTTAATAAGAGGAGAAAGTACCAAACTATCAGCTTCACTAACAAAGCTAGAAGCTGTGATCCTGATCATATCTCACGAAAAACTTTTGAAAATTGGTCGAGAAAAACCAGACTTATAAGATCATCTACTTTATGGTAGGCTTTTCAAATAAGTTAAATGATCAGTCTTGATAATTGCACCCTTGTAATACTCGAAGAACGTTTACTGTTCAAAACTATCCCCAAAAACTCTACAATGGGCACTAACCTTATTGAACAAAGTTTGGAAAAAGAACTAATGATTACTATCTTTGCAAAGTGAATGCAGGCTATCAAAACAATACGAGAAAATAACTTCGTCCATGCATATAATGACGGCTAAGCTGAAGAAACTATACAGAACAGTGGAGCTCGCATCCATATAGTGCTGCAGAGTGGTATTACCGTGAACCACAAGTTTAGCACAAATACCTTCGCTTCAGATTTCTGCTGCAAGCTGAGAACAATAAACAAAGCTTTACATGAATATTATCTACTTAAGAATACGGAAAAGCAAAGGGTTTGATTGTCTTTTGTGAATTCAGATTTGCCTTAAAGACAATAAATAACAGTCAACACTAGTCCAAGGTATTCGGCATCAAAATAAAAACATTGACAGTCTAGATAGGATTTGGATGTTGCAGTGGATACTGCTCCCGTTGGTATTCCTGAAAACGAAATTGCAGACAGGCTTTCCAAAGAAGAAAGATTATCTAAACAATGGTAATAATAATCTAATTATTCTTAACGATGCAAATACAATAGAAAAATATAAACGTAAATACCATCAAAAAACGCTGCCTGATTTGTGAAATTAATGCTAATCAAGACATAAAAAAGACTATGAGTCGGCTCAAAACCCAGTACCCTCGGGGTCTGAGAATATAAGGAGACGGCACAAAATCTTACCGTCCTTGCAGTAACTATGAACAGAGAGCATTAATCCTTGACCATATTTTTAATTGGCCGCAATCATAAGATCCCTGATTCTCGTTGGATAATATCCATTTGATATTGCGAATTTGAATATCTTTTGATCCCGCTCTATTCCGGAAACATCAGTGATATAGCTGGCTGCATTTTGTCTACACATAGACCTTTGAGAT